AGCTGAAATGAGCATAAGCTGAAATTAGCATAAAGTAGTTAATTAGGCTGAATGTAGTAGAAAGTACCATGAAAAACTTGAATTAATCAGAAAACACCTGAAATGAGCTAAAAAAAATAATATGCTGAAAAGGTAGAACAAGCTCAAAGTAAGAAGAAAACAGAAAGGACATGTTTGCCCAGTTAGGCTGAAAGAAGAAGAAATGAGCACAATAAAGTGGAATTTATCTGAAAAAGCTTAAATTTGCATGAACAAGAAAAAAAAAACAGCTGAAAAGTAGATAAAAAAAAGTAGAAAGAAGTTGAAATTACCAGAAGGAAGTGGAGAGAGCCCATTTTTGCTGAATTAGGCTGAAAATAGTTGAAATGAGTGCAAAAAATGTGGAATTTGCTGAAAAAGCTAAAATTAACATTTTAAAAAATAGTAGCTGAAACAGCAGAAAATTCTGAAACCTGCATAAATAAGCTGAAAGGAGCATAACACACTGAAATTAGCAGAAAGAAGTTAGTTAAAGCCCAAAAAGTGTTGTAGTTAGCGGAAAGAACCTAAAAGGAGCACAAAACAGCAGAAGAAACAGCTGAAAGTAGCTGAAAAAAGTTTGAGTTTGCACAAGGAAGCTGAAAGAAGCTGAACCAGAACAAAATGTGAAAGGAGCAGTAAAAGTTTGTAAACAGATCTAAAGATTTGAAGGATGTGAAATGAGCTCAATTAATTTCCTATGAGAAAAAAAAAATGGCAGAAAAGGTTAAATATTTTAAAAAGCTAAAATTGCACCAATACCAAAAATCATAGCAGGGTTGTCGTGAAAGAGCTGAACATTTTGATATGATTTGTTGAAATGGCACAAAAATTGTGGAACGAGAAAGATGCTGAAAATCGTATGGAAGAAAAATAGATCACAATAGAGAGAATGCTTCATAAACACTCACACAATTAAGTTCCCAGCAAGAAACAGTAATTTTAAACAAGTTGGAAAATCACACATATATTTAAAACCGTTACTTTAAAGAGACACAAACAGTCACACGTGTATGAAGACAGTGAAATGTGAGGGAAGCAGAAGGAGAAAGGAACTCTACCTTTCTCAGCTTCAGGTGACCCCAGTGCTCCATGTCTGAACCCACGTACCTCCCTGGAGTCGAAGCGACCAAATAAACTCTGACATGAGAACAAAATGATTAAAATCCACATTACAACCACATCTGCTCTTTTTTGTTACTTTGTCTTAAAGTGAAGAGTCTGTACTTTGACGGTTTACCTCGTCTCTGACAGGTCGTGCTCTTTGATCCGTTGGATCCACTCTTCAAGTTCTAGCGCACGGTACGATGCCAGATAGTCCAGCAAGTCCTGCTTAAAGAAGGTGGGCGACTCACCTGCACTCGAACTGCTCCCTTCTGGTAACCGTGGAAACAGAGGGCTCATCCACATCCTAACCAGGAAGAAACCTTTTTTATTAGCAGGTAACATACAGTGAACGTTAAGCTAGTTCCTTTTGTCAAATCAGGGTTTCGACACATTTCCCATTATAAAGTTGCACTAACTAATAAAGCTGTTGAATTATTTATTGATGACATTACAAACAGTGTTATATCATAACGAATAAATATCTGTCTCCTCTTTTACTTTACAGAAGTTGGTGACGTTAAGATCAAAAAAGGACATCATGGTGGCCATGTCCAGTTTACACTGATGTGTTGACAAATGCCCTAAAAGCAACTTTTAAAAATGCTGCTTTTTAGTTTTTACAAAATGCAATAGGTAATAAAGTCTGGAAACACCAATGTTTTTCAATACTTTGTTTTCTTTTTGTAAAATTAATATAAATTCCAATTTTTTTCCGGACTGTGGAAACCTTGTCAAGTCTCTTACAGTTAGTGTTGTTCACCCTAATCAGCATCTCCAATCAAGCCCACCACTGTACAGGAAGGAGCCCCCAGACCCTTTACCATACAAGACTATCAATAAGTACCCACCCTTGTGTCTTCTGGTACCAGTCAGCTCTGATGAGGTTGGAGGTGAGAATGATGACTCTGAAGCCTTCCTCGTACCACAGCAACATCATCTTCCTGCAGTCAGACATGCAGCAAAAAGTCATTTTATTTAACACACAAGTTCAAAAATTTAAGTTGACATTTTGCAATAAAAAGGAAACTGAATATCTTGTGAAAGTTAAGGCTCAGGTCATATTTACATGACAACGATCCAATGAAAACTGATTTTTTTTCCCCATTTCCATTAACACATTTACATGAAAACATTCTAATTACAGGCTGTTTACACAGCAACGATAGATGTGGAAAAGGTGTAATTCCCTCACCACGCCACTAGTTCGTGCCATGTTTGAAACTCCATCCATCCATTATCTTTACCCATAGATATCATATAATCACTAGATCCCTCATTGGCTGCTGCGGCGCAGGAATTTCGGCCGCCATCTTGGAACGGTCATCTTATTTGGTTACAGCAGAAGATGTCTCAGAACTTCGCAGCTTATTTCTGTTCTAATCGACGGACTGTTGACGTCAGGTCTTGGGGGATAACTTTTCACAAGTAAGATGAACATATTATTGTTAGTATTTTGTGAATATAATATTACTGTACTGTATTTATGTCCACCAGCTGATGTTATGTTCAGTGTAACACGGTGTTCAGCTACAATGAAGCTGACTGAGATCTGATGACAGGAATATTTTTCTAACAAGCGTACTCACAATTTCAGTAGCTTTGGTTCATTATCAACAGATATGTATCAGAATTGGAGTTTTGTTTAAGTTCTAGGATATAAAAATAAATAAAACTAGGGAAAATATAGGAAATAGAAAATAAGATTGACCTC